GCTGATGAACGGCGCTGCAGCTCCAGCTCCAACCCCATTCCACCTCATCACATCACATCTTTCGCCAATGAGTTGCCTACACCTCGTCGCTGCCGGGGTCCTCTTTCCATGACAGACGGACAGCGCGGGCCCAGCGCCGCTTGACAGTACGAAACGGCGGCGAAGAACGCGCCTGCGAAGCAGTCGTTAAACCAAAAAATCGCCAGTCACGCCGCTGCCGCCACCCTCTGACTCGTTGGTGAACTCGAGCTTGTCAACGTTTCCGCCCCGTGACGCTGCAGACGGACCGGGTCGTCGGTGGTTTGCGCTGCTCTTGGCCTGGGCGCTGCTGGTACAGCGGCACGCTTGGAGAGCTGGCGGCTTTCGGACCCGCCTCTTCCACATCTCGCCCGACGCGAGGTGGCTGCCTGGACGGACGCCCTCCGGTGGCGCCACCAGGGTTTCGACAAGGAGGGGCCCAAATCGGGGCGTGGGTAGGGTCCAAGCCGAAGGGCCCGACTTCATCGCTATAGGGCTTTAATTTGCTTCAATGTATTGGATTGTGGGCGCAGGCGCCGTAACATCCAACAGCGCTTTAGAATTAGTTATGATCGGTCTCTGCGGGTGTGACCGAACGTGTTGGTCCTCAGGTCTCCAGTGCAAACGGACGACGTTGTAAAACGGGAATGGCTGCCGAACTCCCTTTGTTCAAACGTCACCTCACATTATTCCCCGCCGTTGGACGCTCGCCGCCTGGTGCACAAAGTACAGCAGCATTAAACAATTCTTCAAAGCAGCTTACGCCATGGGGACCGAGCGAGATTCACGGCATTGCTTGAGCGTCATCGCAATATTGGTGCCCCAAAAGGGCACCGCCGCTGCCACATATTTGCTCGATATGACCCCGCTTCTACGCATCCTTCAGTGCATCTGCCTCGTCAGCGCGGGGCAAAATGATCGGGAGCATTTAAAAATAGTTGCAATCGGTTTCTGTAAATGGCAGATGCGTGCAAAGTATCCGAAAACCGACCCTGCAGCAGCTGCATATTTTCTATTTAATTTGATCATATTGCAGTGTGTTCCTGATACGGACTGGTTGGTAGCGGATCTGGTGTAATGTTCGACAAAGCTTTGAAGGAAGTTACAATCAGTCTCTGCAAGCGTGCACGGGCGTGTTAGGTCTGGCCTCTAGTGTAATACGACGCTATCAGAAAACCGTTCGGGATGCCGGAGTCTCTCTCCCTCACGTGGCCTTCTGACGTCACATTCTTCAACACCTAATTCACAGGGTGAGTTGGTTTGTGCGTGAACTCACTTAGGTCAAGGTTTGAGATTATTAGGTCGTGACCTGCGGGTCAAAGTAGGTCAAACAATGTCAAACCCCAGGCTGGTCTCCAAAGTACCCCCCGAACCCAAATAGCTCTTCTAAGCAAAAAGGTACATGCTAATTTAAGGTAACGACCTTGTTCGACATTTTTAAGGTTGTGGTGACCAAAATCATACAAGACTGCTTTGAGTTTTACATTTGAATAGGCAACACAAATTACGCTAGACAGTATGATGCCAAAAACAAAATGTTGACCTAGGTCACGTTATGTCGGTGACCTATTCTGACCTATAAGAAGTCCATAGAATATGTACAAAACGTATCCTGCCATCAACAAATTCGAAATAAGCACCAGAAACTACTCTTTACAGCAAGCCCTAGCAATGGCACAGGGTGGTTTTGACCTTGGTCTGACCTTCATACCTGACCCTAGGTCAATAAAGTTTCTTCATTCAATTGCTATATTGCCTAAGAAAGTATTTCACAGATGTATGGGTTTGGCTAACACTCCGTAGTTGCATCAGATTGAACGATTCCCTAGACAATGACTTCGCCGAATCCATGGCCTAACTTTGTGCTGCCGTATGTCAGCGACCTTGCAATGCAAATTTTTGACGCCAAACGATCCGCTATTAAATTGTCTACAGCTATACAAAATTTTGGCGCGACTACGTCGCACCGTTCAGAGACCATTCCCGAAAACCCTTCGGGAGGGTCAAGTTGACCTGCGAGCGCGTTTTAGCCAATTGGAACGCTATTGTGAATCGCCCACCAAGCACCAGCAAGCCGCCAGCATTAAAACTTACATCCGGCAGCTAGGTGAAACAAACACGAACCGATGGATGGGCCGTTGTCGGATACTTTGCGATGACACTAAAGCATTAGTGTCAGGCACGCTTCGTCACACTCAAAGAGATCAATTTTAACAATTTTCAAACGACGCCGCGCTTCTCAAGGCACACTCTGAGTGTTCCGTCACTTTCCTTGGTGCAGTTCATGCTGTTGACCCAGTCAACAGCCAAAAGAGACCAACGGGGGGGGGGGGGGGACAAGATATTAAACGAACTGGACTTTGGCTCCTCAGACGGTAATATTGGCTCCGGCAACTACGTTCATTCGCGATGAAGGCATTATTTTCTTGCAAGCGATATGCGTGGATTTGGTGGGACACACATTCAGAATTATCAAGTCAATTTATTTGAAATCTAAGCACCACTATGGTCGGCAAGCTGCTGCGAAGAACAAAAGTCCATCCCCAGAATCCTGGTGGACTTGGTGCTTTTCGGCGACGTAGATGGACATCTACTGCAATTGGAATTTCCTCATACGGCGCAATGGCGCTGTAAAGTTAATCTAAAGGGTCCTGAAAGCTTTGGCAACTAGCTTTGGCGCTGTATGTGGCAACGTAGTTCAACTTGTTCCGACAAAAGGCGGATCATTCTTCTTGCAATGGAATTTGTTCTAATTGGGGGGGGGGGGTGGGGGTGGGGGTGGGGGGGATTGGGGGTGAGGGCATGCCTCCTCTTCCCCGTTCTGGAGGTCGCGGGCCCCTCCTCTAAATTTGTCACTTAAAGACAGTCACCGGGATTCTAAAATATAAAAACGACCCCGAACCATCGAGATAGGATCCTGAGGAAAAACGTGCTCCCGCATGGGCAGTCATGGCCCTATTTCTGTTAGATATTTATTCCACCGGAGGTTGTCTTAAGACTTCTAGACCTTAGGAAAGAGCTTTATGGATGTCATGACTCTCGGAGAAAAACGCTTGAAAAAAAACAGAGCGACGAAGTGGTAAGGAGTCTCTTGACTGGAGGACACCTTGTGACCCGATTTGGCCCCCTCCTGGGCTAAATTCTGGCTACGCGACTGAAGAGGCGTGAATAGCCTCTGGGCGCGAAAGGGCCCTCATTCAAGGTCAAACTCTGTGAGGGGCCCTATCTTTAGGCCAACAATTCCGTAAACAAGCCTGTGTGGAGATAAAGAGCGGGTCCTTTTGGCGATAAGAATTTCAGGATAATCCCAGATTCGCCCTCCTTTCTGCTCAAAGCTGGGGGAGGCGGGGGAGGGGGGAGGGACTGAAGCCCCTTTGAATAACACACTACACCCCGGCTTTTAAGCTAATATCACAGCGGCAAATGCAATACATGGGCAGATGAAACGGTGCTTCACCCGTGCTTTTATGGAAAGACAATTCTTATTGAGGCGATCTAAGGTCTAGGGCAACTATTACAGCGGTAAGAATGTCCAAATGAATACATCTGAGAGAAGATCTGAGTCTGGAATGCCCAAAGCGAATGTATTTGAAAGAACATCCGAGCCCGAAATGTCCAAAAAGAATGTATGGAAGCAGCATTCGCGGTTTTTCCCCATGCATTGCCAACCTTAGGTTTCCTGAATATATTGAAAGGATGGCGCCTTAGAGTACGTAATGGCATCGCAAGACGCATGGAGTAAATTGCCGCAATGGCGCTCATATTGGACTTCTACGTTTCTGAAAATGCAAAACGTCCATTTCTGACACAATTTGACGATTGAAAGACTAATCTTCCCCCTTTCTAAGATGCTCTCAGTATCCTCTTTTTAATACTTAAGTTTCATGGATGCCTGTGTGCTGTTTTCGGTGCGCTTATTTGCTCTAACAATATACGCTCGGATGTTTTCCACATACGGGGCCAAATGTAACCTTGAAGGCTCTGTCAATGGGCAGTCAGCATGACATAACATAATGGCGCCTTGGTCCACCTCAATGGCGCCGTGCGAGGACGAGAAAGACGCGCTGTAATGGCGCCCAGGCTGGACGTATTTCTTTCATAAAATGGAAAATGTCAATTTCTGGCCTATTCTCACCACAAAGTCAGCGTAACTGCATTGAACTGATATGCTGTCAAGCTCCTCTTTCACTTAGAGAAAGATTCGTGGTTGTTTGCATGCCGTTTAGTACCGAAACCTAAAACTGAAGATGCTTGTTAAGACCAAACGAAAGTTATATGATTCTCAAAAATCTTAACGCAAAACTTGGAATTCGAAAATGGAAAAGGTTGTGCTACAAGAATATGAGAGCACATGAATGCGTCTAAATAGCTCAGCGTATCTAGAACAAGGACAGCATAACTTGACGTACTTTATGCACGCTAATGCCGACCAATTTCTTTAGCCGAAACGAAAAATAGAATTAGTTTTTAATGCTAACGCAAAGGTATTTTGGACGCTTACGGCACCAACGTCCAAAGCGAGCGCTCACAAATGTCTTTTTTATCTCATAAACCAAACGAGTGTGACAAAAACAGGAGATATGTCTTAAAGTGGTGCTGCTGATTAGGACACTTTAAAGGCGGTTGCTGTTATTCAAAACAGTGGCTGATTGAGACACAACACATATTTTCATGATTGTGTCCACGTACGGCGCCAAAACCGGCGCCAAATCAGGGCCGATTTTCGCCCGAGGGCGTTTCCCCTGTACAGTGCCAAACAGTCCAGTTGGGCGCCAAAAACACCACTACCGGCGCCAATGCCATTCCCCGCGGGGCACCGACGACTGGTGACGTCACGGCGCGCCAGATCGACTGCCGGGATCAGCTGACGCCCGACCAGCGACGAACACGCCGCGGAAGAGCGTCGCTGGCGGCGGACAGGGGCGGCGCGAGGGCGCGTCATTGCGATAGGGGTCCTGACGATGTGGTGCGGCGGAGGGCGGTCTGACCGGCGTGCGGCGCTCTGGAGCGCCGGCTCCGCGACCCGTCCTGACACGGCCGCCGCCCGGCTGCTATGACGCTTGCCCCAAGGTCGCGCAGATCAATGCCTCGCCCGGCGAGCAGCGTCAGAAATCACCGGACATGGAGTGGGTGAGTTGTGTTCTGTGCTTGTCGGCTTTGAAGTAGTTTAGCACTTCATGAAAGGTGTGGTCAGACGCGTAAGCAGAAATTTGCAATGAAGAGGAATGGGGCACAAGTAAAAAAGCTTACGCGGAAATTTAGTTCAGCACGCCGCATGCGCATGCTCTTTTTGCGTTGCGTAAAACAACATGACATGTTCTTGATCTGTTGAGTCCTGTGTATCTACCTCGGAGGTTTATTTGCCCACATGTATTCACGTACATATGATGCATGTAATGCATTTGATATAGGTGGCACGTGTCCGCCCCCGGGGCCTTACATGAAGATTCCGCTGGTCTTGACATTTTTGGTGGAATGTTCCAGCTTATTCCAGCACATTAATCAGTTTCGATGCCCCTGTACTGCATTGCATACCATTACATCGGAGACTACATCATCGTTATGAGGCATACTATGTCACGCTGAACGACAAACTTTTCGGGATGGACTTAAACTGACGTAATATAAATTCCCTGCATGTGGAGGACGTTTAAAACTTGTTCATTGTCTAAAAATGTTGTTCATTATCTAAAACTTGTTTATTATCTAACTTCCTGCCCTAGCAGTGCTGCACTGTCAGATTGTGGTCTGTTCAGTTTCTCTCATTCGGACCTCTCGCTCCGAGGTGCGATTGTGACGTGATTACGATGTCTTATAAAATGCGCCTTCTAATCCTGTCAATGCAATATGCTTTTATGTGCCAGTGTCTTGCGAGGATTAATGAAGTACGTCGATCGCCAATTGTATGGGAAGAATCGTTATCATCATACATTGCGTTGCTGCAAATTTTCACCAGTAGGTACTTGTTTGGTTCCAACGGTTCGTAACCCGTGCCCGGGGGTGACATTTTGTATATTTTTGGTGGGGCTGCTCCCCATGCTCCTCTGAGCCCCCTCAATGCACATGAGCAGCGAGTGAATGCTTGACCAAATAAATGCAGAACAGTCATCTGAAAGACTGGTCGCTAGATAATAGGTAATTAGTATGATGATAGTTATGAGCCGAATAGTATTCTGAGTGCGGAATGTTTTCGGCGCGCTGACTCCTTCATACATTTGGTGCGTCTGAAAAGTTAAATAATCTTTGTTTTCAAATGATGACGCTCGAGTTGGGATAAATATTATTTTTGACTGCAACGTGCAGGCGCCCTTTAGTGTACGGGGTGACCCAGATCAGATTCAACGCATGTTTTCCCCAACAGGGGCAAGTGTATTTGTCGCATAATCATAGCTTTGGTGGTTCTAAAACATGATCAGCGACAGTGGTAGTCATTAAATCCCTTAGTATGATTTACCAAGACGTTGTCCTGCTCTGTTCTGTCGGGTGGCCACCAGCATGGTGCCTAGTTCTGAGCTTTTCACAAAAGGTAGATCACATTTACTTGAAGTTGGATATCATAACAACGCAAGAATGAAATTGTGAGTCTACGAATCTGGTAAAATTCCAACATCGAGGACGCAACTTCTCAGGACCGAAATCCGGGGAGAAGTCAGATTTATGGGGCGGGTTAGGCCAGGCCTTTCCACTGAGCCCCCCAAAACGATTAAGGAAAGTGACACGCCTGCCCGTGCCTGTCGTGATTGAGGAAGACTGACCCTTCTCTTTGGAGTTTTGCCGATGTGCATGAATTACACCATGAGGCAACGGTCCGCGATGACTAAATTTATCACCAACTAGTGACTACTGAAGCACATGAGAACAGACAGCATGCCATCACATTTATGTGCGATGGAAGGATAGGCTCAAGGACGCGGGAACCGAAGGGGCGGTGGGACAACTCGCCTCTCGAACATGAAAGTTGGAAGTGGGATGGCGCCCCCCCACTTGGTGGGCCCGTGGAGACCCCGTTCTGGTAGGGTCCTTTGGTTAGGCCTATTCTGGACCGTAAAGGGATTATGTAAGCTGAGGACACTTCTTAGCCTGTAGGGGGGCCATTCTGACCTGTGCAAGGCACATGATTAACTTTGGAGGGCCCATTCCAGCCTGTGGAGGCTCTGACCTGAAAGCTGTCCATTATTGACTGTGGAGGGCTCATTGCAACCCGTAGACGACCGTTCTGATCTTTACAGAGGCCATTCTCGCATTCAGAGGGCCATTTTGATCCGTAGAGGGTCCATTTTTGTTTATAGAGGCCTCAGGCAGGTACCGGGCCTATTCTGGCCCGTAGAGGACCCAATGTTCCCTGTAGAGCGCCCCGTCTGACATGTAAAGGACATGTATCCTATGGAGCTCGTGTTCTGGCCTCTAGAGGGCTCATATAGGCCTGTAGTGGGCCCATTCCAACCTGTCGAGGGCCCGTTTTTGATGGTGGAGGGCTATTTTGTCCTGTAGAGGGCCTGTTCTGAATCTTATCGGCCTATTCTGACCTGTAGGGGCCTAGTACTGACTGTAAGCGGGCCATTCTGGCATTTAAGGAGCTTACTATATCATAAAAAACCATTTTGGCCTTTTGGAGTTTGCCCCCCCCCCCCCCAACTTGAACATAGTTCCCGCGCAATGCAGTTCGTGATCAGGAGTCAACTCACCTGGATAGCTAACAAAACAAAGCAGACCATAGTGGTGTGGCTGAAAAAAACTGATAATACCCTCTTACGATCGCACGTGTTGCAGGCACAGCATCAGCACTGGCTGCCTATTGGGCGAAGCACAATCAAATATCACGTGATCCATGAGGTGCCCGAGAACCCAGCGCAGGAGCCAAACGGAGAGAGACATGGCGCGCCATCCCCTGACAGTCCAGGTGAAATAGAGCACACCACTTCCCTTAAACAGCTCCCGGAAGCGGCCTCCGAAGCATGCGCCAAGAAACCAGCCGACCACTGGACCTGCTGTGACCCATCGCAAGCTGGACTGCTCTTAGCCTTCGGCTCAGGGTTTTTCGGCGCCACCTGCTTACTCCTCATCCAGTTGCTAGACCACTTTGACCCGGCCGAACTGGCGGCATTCCGTTTCGTCGGCTTCTTCGTGCCGAGCCTGGTGGCGGCGTTGCGTTCGGGGCATGACCTGTTCCCTGCGGGTCGGCGCTGCCTGCTACTCCTGCGCGCCCTGCTTGGCACCGCCGGCATTGTCTTCAAGTTCTACGCCCTGCGACACATGTCGTTGGCGGACGCCAGCGTCATCCTCGTCAGCGTGCCGGTGTTCGTGGCCATGTTCGCGCGCTGCTTCCTGCGCGAGCCGTGCGGCTGGCTGCACGTGGCCACGATCGGGGTCACGATGGTCGGCATGGTGCTGATCGTGCGGCCGCCGGTGCTGTTCGGCACCGACACGTCGCAGACGGATGTCAGCATCCTCGGCGCGGCGCTGGCCCTCACAGGCGCGCTGTTAATCGCCAGCAAGTACGTGGTGGTACGCATGCTGAAGGGCGTGCCACCGACCGTCATCATGACCTGCTTCTCGGGCGTGGCGACGCCGCTGGTGTTTGGCTTGTGCCTGGCAGTGGCACAGCTCAAGATACCGCGCTCGCTGCCCGAGGCGGCCATGCTTCTGACGTTCGTCGCCTCCAGCTTTCTGAGTCAGCTGTGCCTGACGTGCGCTTCCCTCGCCGAAGAGGCCGGTCTCGTGGCCACTGTACGTACCGTTTGCGAGGTGGTTTTCGCCGTCTGCTGGCAGTTTGTGCTGTTTGCTAAGGTGCCCGGCCCACTGACGGCCACCGGCATGGTGCTCGTCATCACTTCGGTAGTGCTCGTCGGGCTGAAGAAGTGGGTGGCCTCGCTGACCGAGGAGTCCAGCGTGCGCCAGCGGCTGTCCTGGCTCGTGTAGCCAATGCCCTTATGGGAACAGAATGTGGGAATTTGGTTAGGTAGATTGCAGAACGCACAAAATATGGAAAGCTGACATTGAAAGATATAACATAAAGATTGCGCGCTGATCTTTGTGAGCATAGCTTTGCGTTTGTGTTGATTGCTTTTGCACACGTTTCTTTGCTTTTACGCTAAGCGGGCTTCAGCCCGTCCCAAAAACCCACAAGCTATCTTGAGAATCAGGCACATGCATGATCAGGAATGACGACACCAAGTGTGTGGCCGGCAGCTGTCGCTGCCGGGCGGTACTAAGTTGTAATCGACACCTGCGGTAGCATGTTGCGTGTGATTAGTGTCGTGTGCGCCGCGCTGCGTAGGGCATGCAACGGAATTCCTCGTGAGTGGCTTGGAAAGGCAAGACTCTGCCCCTTTGGCTAACTGACAAGTCGCGGTAATGAATACGTGGTGCTATACTCAGCGACGAAAATGTTTTTTGCAAAAGCATATAAATTTTCGCCATGTGCGTATTTGACACGTGTTTCGGATAATCAGCGCAAGACGCAAGGGTCATCAAAAACGTGCGTATGACACACATCACTCAGCGAGTGTTTCCTCCCTTGCTACTTTGTGCGCATCTTCATGGCTGAAATGATCAATTGCGAGCAGCCTCGTTAGAATACGCCCATATTGATCACAATGAACAGGGATGTACCAAAAATGTTCGATACCAAAACAAATGTTTGATGTCTGCATGTTCTTATTATGGCAATAGCCGTGTTCACAAAGAATTACTTGCACATTTTTTGAAACATCTGTTGGAATATTTTGGCGTTTTTTCTAACCAAACTGCTTTTCCAAGGCGTTTTGGCTAAAAATGTGTTGCAGAGATTCCACATGTTTCTATGGACGCATAATTTGATATAAGTGCGATTAGCTTGTTAGAAAAGAGATCGTGCCCTTATGAGAAGGCATGATGCCAGATCTCTTCACACCGAAACTTCTCAAAACATTAAAAAAAAAACATTCGGTGGCATCTCTGACGCAGACACGATAACACAAACTCCTATAGCATTGTATCGTCCTTGTTCGCAGGTAAACAGTGCTTATAGGACTTGCTTACAGTACTTAAAGAGCTTGCTTACAGTATTTACAGAGCTTGCTCGCAGTGCGTAAAGGGCTTACAGAGCTCACGTACCTTAACATGACTCAAGATGAATATCCCTAAATGAAATGATCCTCAAAGCCCGCCTTGCTCCTCATAGCACCAATAACAATAATGATGCGGCAGCCGATATCCAACGCCTTTAACCGATTCAGATTACTGATTTCCAGGTCTAGGATTTTCCAAGAATTCGGGTGAACTTAAGGCATGGGCTGCACACAGGTTTGTAAAGAGTGTTGTCTGATATGAAAATGATTATTCCTAACTGGCCGCATGTGGTTTACCTACTACATGTTAACGGAATCGCTTGCAAAAAACATTTTTCTTGCCAGAGTTTACGGTGGCTACTAAAACTTAAAAGAAACATTAAAAACTCCTTAACAACCTTCCAGTGCATTAATCCATCGTGAAAACGGCTTATGTCGGTATGGTGGTGATGTATGATGGTGTATCTTGACGGTGATATGTGCTGGATTGCCTTGGTGGTGACACATGGTGATATTTATGGGTGATAGTACTGGGCCACTGCGTTGAATAGTAATAACTTGAATACATATTTGCGCAGCAATGCGTTCAGGCTGTCATCGAGGAGGAGAGGGGGGGGGGGAGACGTTTGTACTCCACAAGTGTACTGAAGACTTCTGCGCACTTGCGATAATATGTGTTTTCGCGGTGTTAACAATGCATCCAACTGAAAGCGCATCGCCACCTGTGAAGGAGAAATAGACAAAATGTGTCCGTAAAAAATAATACAACGGAACGGGACCCAGACCAGGCTCAGTGGATAAACACCAAGCCAGAGGAGACATGCCCCCAACAAAAGCCCCGACTCCCCGTCTCGCCAGGCTTGGATCATAGTCCCGTCCCAGTCCACAGGCCCTATCCGCAGGCACACGCAATCGACATGCAACATGTGACGTAGGTTTTGGTGGCGTTTTTAACAGCAAATCGAGTGCACAGTTTAACGTGGGGAAAATCCCATTTATTACTTCTATCAGTACATGCACGTGCTCAAGAACGCCACAACAATGGGTTATTGGCAAGTAACACACGGTGTACCTTTGCTTGCCGTTTAAAGCTGCGAATCGGGGCTTAAAGTAATTTTGTAACTCGCGTAACATGTGTCAACTTGTGTTCCCTTGCCCAACTCGTTTTGACATTTCCGGAATGGCGTAAGTCCATTTATTAACCAATGAAATGATTTCTCGGCTTAATCGGCAAGGGTCACTTAGGTCATCGATACATTACGTCACGCACTGTTCGCAATTTTCATCTTCCGGCCCTGGTTGCGCACTGGTCACGCTGAGCGCCCCCCCCCCCCCCCTCTCTCTCTCTCTCTCTGGCAACGTTGGAATCAGCGTGGCGTCCCAAAAACTGACAACTCCTAGAACGCAGTGTCAATTTGACTAAAATGAGCTAGAGGTTGATCTTACGTAAGTTGCTAAGTGTTTGTGCGAGAAGCATTATTCATAAGTATAAGGCAACAGTAAAAGCCTTATTCCTCGGAGAAAAACAGGGCAATGGAGATATAGATGTGTTGATACTTCGGCAACATGCCTTTATCGAAACAAGAACAGAATTGGCCTAGTCTGCTGACTTTCGAACCTAAATAAGCCTGTCGATATACAAGCCAATCCGAGCTTACTTCTGCTCTTGTTTTGATGAAGCCATGTTGCCAAAATATCAACGCATCTAGGTCTCCTTTCCCCTGGTTTTCTCCTAGGAATAAAATAATTGATCTTGAACAATGTTTCAATCAATCAAATCAATCCATGTTTTCCGGCAAAATCTTGGCCCGAATAAGGCAATTTTACACAGAGCACAAATCGCCATTGACTCGAAAACTTAAAATATTAGCACCTGACAGCACTAGAATGCATGCCGTTTTGAGGGTTCATTGGGCGACAACGAAATCGTGTTTTGTCGATGTTTGCCAGGCTCACATGTTGTCCCTGCTACACCTGCTATACCTCTTACTGCCTGGTCCCGGCGATACTTTATTCCCAGATCCCATTTGTCTTCACAGCTGTGATGTTTAATGCACGCTATTCAAATGGGTGTCATAAAGACGTCAGGTCATAAAGACATCTGGCCGTCAAAGAGGCACAAGAGGCCATCGAGCTTAGCCTGCCTTATGCTCCGCACACCTCCTCGAAGCTGATATTCAGGCAGATAGAACTTATTCGAGTATTTTAAAAATAAAGGAAGATAGGAGCTTCTAACAACCTTGATTCATATTCCGTTCCAATGGTTTACCACTCTTTAGCTAGAAACATTTGCCTTTGGCATAGCTCTGTACTTACCGTTTGCTAAATGAAACTGGTTTCATCCAAGTCTCAGCCTAATTTCTAGTGCTCCATGCAGATCTATTTTGGCTATCCGTTTCATGGTCTTAAATACCTTTATCAAACCCCCTTAAAGTCTACGATATTTTAGTGAATACAGGCTCAAGGCTCTAAGCCTTTTCTTATACTCTAAGTCACCAATCCAAGCTGCCATCCGACTTGCTCTTTGTCCATCATCCTAGGTGCTCTTTCCAGCGTATTTTTATCTTTTCGGAAGCATGAGGACCACGCCTGTAGACAGTACTCTAAGTGCGGTCGGACATAAACCAAGTACAACTTTCTGACAACATTCCTACTCTTCTAACGGACATTGCTATTAAGAAGTCCCACATTCGAAGCGCCTTACTCCTAACAGCCCCACTGAGTCCTTTTCTCTCTCGATCTGTAACCAGTTTCCTTACGAGATAATGGCGTACATTGGTGGCGTAAGGAGAAGCTTCGCAAGGTTTTGCTTCGAATCCTGTTACATACAGTGAAAAGCAACTTTGAGGTCTTTAAGGCCCTAAACTTGTACATTTTACGAGGAGATCTGGAGTGAGGAGTTACTGCGTACTTCGCCAGGCATTCATCGGGTTCCATAAACGCGGCTTGTTTGACCATGGAGGTAGACACTCTGAAAATGAAGTGAAATATAAAGATGCTCTGGCCGTCGTAGAATAACCAACGGTGATTGTAGAGGAGCCGGCGCATGGTCGTGCGGGAGAGGAGGAACAGGCAGTTTAGACTGAGAATGAACCTTCAGTGGGCAATTGTTGAGGTATGAAGCGATGTCAACTTATCAAGGGCGGACAATTACGCGTATGTGAAGAAATCAATGCAACTGCGGTTCGTGTAGTAGCTTTGTGGGCACCACGAACCTAAGCACTGTGGTTGATAAAGCTGAAAAGCCCTGATGCAAAACAACCTCTTTCCCACAGGTCGCGGATTTGACAACGTTATGTTTTCATCTCTTGCTATGACATGGACAGGCATGCTGCAAGTTCACAAAATGCACAACCTAGGGTAAGAATGGTCAGATATTTCCAGGAGCTTGTGTTATTGTGGTGCATATTGCCTTTACACGTAGTACAGGGTCTCTCATGGTATGAACACACGAACCAAACAGCTTTGTTTGCTCCTGCGAACAGCGGAACAAGATCGATAGTTATAAGATATCCGCAATTCATCGAATATAACATTTATCGTACTAGTCTAAAAATTAACCGTCAATCAAATCACAAACTAATCACTGAGTTAATCTATACATAACCACATCTTTATGTCACCTTAACGGTATTTCTGGATCTATTACAGGCATCTTGACCTCGCGAGTCCATAGCGACGACATCGTTGCCATGGGAACGACCGCTTGCATTGCTATTGAAATTACTTAGCCCTGGCATTTTGCTATTTACCTCAGAAAATTAATGCAAGGCTCATGAAACTGGCGTAGGAAGAATGGAGTTACGGCCAGGCCGAAGCGAGTATCAACTTGTCATGAAACTGGCTGCTGGTCTAAATCCAGGCTCTTTATTTTATACCTAAGGACCTCGCCACCCAGACTACCCAAATGCATCACCTTACAGTTCTCATAATTGAATGTCGTAGCATTCCAGAATTCTGGTAGCACAGAAATGCTGGCTGCCAGGAGAATTATGACCTCTCTTGAAGCTTCCATTTGCTGCCTGCGGGCTCGTGGCGTCATTCAAAATATGATGCATCCTTTCTTAGTATATCTGGTATATGGTTAGGTATTTATCGTGCATGTTTATGTTTATACATATCGAAAATGGAAGATGGGAAGGCCACTATCAGCTTCCTATCCTTTAAAGGTGGTGGTTATAGTGTTTTTCACAATCTGACTGTAGACATTATTACACTGAAAGTCAGGACATTTTGCAATACTGGTAACGGTGCTCGCCCCCGCATTTCGTAAACCTTGTGCCCGTGCTCATGCCCGTCGCCGAATTGCTAAACATGCCGCTCCTCGTACCAAATCCATGCGTTTCCAGTCAGGAATGGATGCCTACAGGCTTCCCCGGCCCATGAAAGCCTGCACTCTGTACCGACAGCCCGGTCACTGTACCATTTCTGTTTGGTCTGCGGGCCGCGGCTGCCTCTCCGGGTCTGGCTGCAGTGCATCGAATGGGGTTCGGAAAACGGTCATTGTGCGAGTGATTGTCTGCATGGTTAGATGTATACCACGTGCTGATTATGTATGATGAACACGTCAGAAAATTGGAGGGATGGGCTCCAAAACCCGGGGCTTAAAACCTGGAACAATGAGGTTTTGCTGTAGCAGTGAACTCCGCTTTGCAATAGCTACATTTGATCAGTCCTCCATAGCATTACTTGCAAGCTATTCTTCGCCCAATACTTTTAGCTTCTCTTCATTTTTCAACGCAAGGCATTCGAGTTATGAACTCGGTCGTCGCTGCGTCGCACCTTTTCGCTGCAATGAATAAACGAACCTAAAAATGACTGACGGCTGTCGGACGCTGGTAAAATACGGCAGTTGTGTTTTTCGTCGTTTTACATGAAACACTCGCCGAGGCCGACTGCACGATCAACCGGAGGCATTTTGACGACGCGAAAAAGTTGGAATTGCAACCCATTAGGTAAGTCGATGTTTGGACGGGACAGTGCACAGAATGAAGAATATAGATGTTGTAAATGCAGACAATGAACGGGACACACCTATGATATCAATGCCGCCATGACCCTGGCTACAATGTTTACAACCTGTTGTATTCGGTACCTTATTTCAAAATGTCGACATCCTCAGATACGTAGCGATTAGTGGCGAAGTCGTGCGTCCCACAAACTCACGATGATTACATGTGTTGCAGACGGTACATCGATCGGCACTTTGAAATCGGATTTGTACCTCCGTCCGCTCTGACTGCTTGGCTGTAAGCAAATACCATGTAAACACAGCGGCCCGCCCGCTTCGCTGGGCAGCTGTTCAGATGATCTTTAGATATTATTTCGGCAACTTTATCACTTCTCAGCCAACCAGCTTAATAATACCAGTCGCATCCCATTATACGATGAGCCAAGCAACATGGAATCGGGAGCCGGCTTCTACATTGCGATTATTACGGTACAGTTTACCTCAGAAATCAAATCTCTTAAGATAGCATGGCTATCTAATCCTTCATTTTCTTCGACAATGCTCCATATGCACATTGTTG